AACGCCCTGGGGCGGGAGCCCGCGCGCGCCCCCTACCTGCGCGGGTAGCACCCCGACCCGGGCAGACCGCTGGGCGAGGAGGGCTGCTAGCGCGGCCTTGCCTGTCCCAGTGCCAACTGAGAATGACAGGGCTTTTGTACGTGCACCTATTTTCCACCTGACAGAAAATACTTGCATTGCGCATTTGATAGAGGCTACTTGGATAAAATGGCAAGTCTTGCTTTGCCCCTGGGTGTTAGCTTCGCTGCTCCTACCTGGCCGGTTCGCAGACACCGGGCCTGGACGCCCAGAGCAGCAGCAGGTTCCCAGAGTTCCTGTGCTTACCTGGGATCTGGCCTCAGCTTCCAGAGCAGACCGGAAGGTGACCTCATTGAGGAGGAAACATTTTAGAATCTATAGGTGTGCAAGACATCAAAGGGTTCAGCCTTTATTTCAGAAAACAGTGTGCTTTTCAGATCCCAGGTCCAGGACAAGCATTAGGTTCCAAGGAGGAGCTAAAGCAAGTCCCAGAACCCTCTGGTGCCTTTGGAAGAAGGGTGGTAGCCACCTTCCAAATCCTAAATCAAAAATCCAAATCACATCACTCTGTGATGTCCAGCATGTGTAGGGCATCCCTGTTCCAGCCAGCACTTCCCTCACGGCTGAGACAGGTTAAAACTTAAGGAGCTCATCACAGGTAAGGAGGAGTCCGGCAGCAGGTCATTAAACAAAATGAATCATACCTGATTCCCAACACCAGCCACCCAGAGTTGATGAGGATACTTACAGGGCCCTTTAATCATGAGGGCAATTGCCTTTATGGGCCTGCCATGTTTCATCAAACTTCTTTTTACATTAGAAGAACCTGAGCAATATTTTAGCCACTGCTTAATTCTAACTTCTCCTATGCTTGGTAATTACTTCTAAGACCTCTGCAGTTGAGGTGAGCTGCTTCATTCACTGTGAACTTCTGTTCTGCAAAGACACCTCCTTACCTACTGGGATGAGGTGACCTCGTCTCATTCCCATTCAGGCTCCCAAAGGGCTTGTTCCAGACATTCCAACCTCTGCTTCTTTATGCAAACCTTGCCCCCCACACGGCCTGTCTGTACTCTGATAATATTTACACAGAGCACGTGTCCTTATGTCTGTTCCTTACCCTTTCAAAGCATTTCACACTCTTTGGAAAGAAAACCTTTAAGATAGTCTTACAAGCAAAAAGGAGAGTATTCACATCATTTATCACTCAAGGACATTTTACCAAGTCCCAGTGTGTTACTAAGAAGTCAGCGTAGGAGCTGTCTCTTGCTTATCTTCTGATGATGGCCCTCCACACTCAGTGCCCTTCCCTGTTCCACCGATAGAAGCCAATGGCCCTTCATCAGGACCTGCCATCCTAAGACCCCAGACCCTGCAGGGCCTGATGATGCCCATCCTCTCCACCGGCAAAGACAGTTACTGTCAATTTCTGCTCTTTCTGCCCATCAGAAAATCAGGTGCTCCTTGCTCTGGCAGCCAGACTGGGATGATGAATGTGTGTCACCTGAGTCTTGGTGGCAGGCTCTTCCCATAAGGGAGTATGTGCTCTTCCTAGATAGATGGGAACTTCTGCCCAGAGCACTCACATTGCCAAGCTTCTGACCCTGCTTTGTTAGCTGGATTCTTCACGATAGCAGGGGACATTTCATTCAAGCAGTTTTGCTCCCACCCAAGGGAATGGTAAGCCAAAGGGTTATTTACAGCCAGCGTTTGTAAAACTGTGGAAGTGGGCTCCCTACTGATGTTCTGCTTATTCAATAAATATGAGTGGCGATTTCAACCACAGCAGTGAGGTCATAGTGTTTCTTTTGGATCAGGGAGATTTCAGGATTTCCAACTTTGGTCTGGAAAAGTGATTTAGATCCTCTGGGGAAAACCAAATGTCTTTGAGGAACACCAGAGGCAATAAGGGTTGAGTTCAAGCCTATTCTGCTGTCCCTGTCTTCATGTGGCCTAAGCCTGTCTCTCCCTGGGACCCCACCTCTCAACACACCTGCAGAAAAGCAGTGTATCCTGGTTCCTCACAAGGGATGAGCATTGTCATTAATCAGTGTCTTCAGATGTACACTGAGAGTTGTTGCCAAAGGGGACTCCTGGGGCCCCTTTTATCTACTACCTTGTCATTGTACAGTGAGAGCAGAAACTGTTCATTGTACTAGTGAGAATTTTTTTTTTTGAGAGGTTTGTGCTATAGGGCACGTGCACTAGCCAGAAAGACAGACAGAAAACAAGAAATCAGCCCCCAGGGGGGATGGCCACATAGCAATCCCTTCTCCTCCATTCTCCTTTCGGGATCTTGGGCGCACACGCACACGCGCTCGATGTGAGTTTAAGCCACTGGGTCCAGGACGCAAACCGTGGTCAACTACATGGGAGTCCAGCAACATCGCCATTACGCCTACTCCTGGTCCCATGTACTAGTGAGAATTTTTTTATGCATCCAACTCCAAAAATTGCTCAGAACCAGACATGGGCTAGCCAGCCCGCCTGAGCACTATCTCCAAGATGCAGGCCATTGTTTAGTTTGCTTTTGTGGTCTGAGGAGGTCGTTAAACAAAATGAATCACAGCCTGATTTCAGGATGATTCAGGAGGCTGAGTTTTCACAGTCACATAGTAAGCAAGAGGCAGGTAGAAACTAGGGTCTTCCAAGTGCAGTCTCTGGGGACCTGACCTTACACGGGGATGAGTTCTCTTTGCCCTACGGTATGTATGAATGTGAATACCTTGCTGGGTAAGGTTTAGTTCTCAGTGTCTACTGCTTCCTATTTAAAAAAAATATTTTTTCTACCAGACTGCATCATATATTTGTGACAGCAGAAGTTAGCAGGAATCCTCCATTCTGTGGCACAAGGTGACATCTTCCTTTGAGGAGAGTGAATACAAGCTGAAATCACTGTGACATTCAATCAAATTGTTGGCTCAACAACATTTCATATTGTATGACAGTTTTTAAATCAAATACCCAGCATGCATTAGAATCTTCTACATACATAATCTTATTTCATATTCCTAATAACGGTCTAAAATAGAGATCTCAATCCCTTTTTGCCAAAAAAAATTCTTTTGGGCCTTCAGAGATTCATTTGCCCAAACACAACTATAGAGGCAATCAGACTTAACTCCGTCTTCATCTGTCTGTCCTTGCTCATCATAACATGAGGATAATAGTCACTCCTATCCCAAAGGCTGCAAGGAGGGCCAAAGGAGGCTGTGCATTTAATCGTGTAGCACAGTGTCTGACATCCACAAGCACTCAATAGATGTTACTTATAATCATTTTATTATCAATATTCCACGATGCATGTCAGAGTATCTGGTGGGTGTCCATACAACATTTTTTTCAGTCTTTATCCGAAACTCTGGTCTCTTTTCTACTCACCATAGAATCATTCAGATCTTTTTCTTTTTCTTCTTCTTGAGCTATCTCCTTTTCTTTTGATCAGTAGTGAGTCATTCCTCTAACTTTACTGAGAAAGCAGGGTCCATCAAGAACGTACTCCCTGTACTGCCCTGCCTACTCACCCTGGCTTGCTTTGCCCACCAGATCAAAGAAGGGCACATCTCTATCGACCATATCCAGGGTAATAAGATGGCCATCCCATTTTGATTTCACATTGCTCTGCTCAAAACCTGGCTCCACCAATATTCATCATTCATCTTCATCCTAAGTCTTCATCTTTGGGGACTCCTGTCCTTATTCTCCAACTTCATTCAGATCTACTCATCCCAGAAAAACAAAACCAAAGACAAAAATGAACCAGAAACAAACATACCAACCACAAGACCAGCCATTCATGGCATTTAATACTTCCTGAAGTTATTACCTTGACTTTGTCCTTTAACTTATAACAGAAATTCTTTTTTGTTGTTCATGACAGAGCACATGAGCGTGCATGACACACATGGAGAGAGAGACGCACCCTCCACAGAGCTCAGTCACACCTTGATCTTTTATCTCCAGTACTCCAGGGATTCTGGCACACATGCCAGTCATAATTCAGACTGATCAGGATGGAACTCAAACCACAGTCAGCTTGTGGCTTCCAGCTTCTCAGCCTGATACACTACCAACTGTGCCACAGAGACTGTCCCTACAGTGGAAATTCTCTTTTTTTTTTTTGGAGAGGTTTTTTGCCATAGGGCACATGTGTTAACCAGACAAACAGAGCAAGACAGAGAGATAGAAAGCAAGAAATCACCCCCAGGGGGGATGGCCACGCCGCAATCCCTTCTCCTCCGTTCTCCTCTTGGGATCTTGGGCACGCACACACACGCGCCTGGCGTGAGTTTTAAGTCACCGGGTCCGGGACAGGAACGGCGGTCGACTACGTGGGAGTCCAGCGACATAGCCATTACGCTAACTGCTGGTCCCTACAGTGGAAGTTCTTAAAGAGTCACCTACAAGTACTGACTTCCTTTTTCTCAACTCTTGTGCCTCTTAGCCCATTAGAACTGGCTGGTAGTCTGCACTACTGATCTCTCTCTTTTTTAAAGAATTTTGCTAGAGTGTGAGTGCCCTCACCTGAGAGAGACAGAGAGCAAGAGGGAGAAAGAAAAGTGGAAAAGCACCCCCGTGCGGGATGGTCACACTGCAATCCCTTCTCCTCCAGTTCTCCTTTCAGGATTTTGGGTATGCACACACATAAACCTGGTGTATTTTTCAAGCCAGTAGGTCGAGGACTCGAACTTCACAGTTGATCATATGGGATCCTGCCACCTTAGCCCCACACCACTAGCCGGTCCCACACTGCTGCTCTCAACAGATCAGACTGCCAAATCATTTCTCCTTGATCTTATCAAATTTTAAATCTGAAGCAACTGATACTATTCACCAGTTATTACTATGAATAGAAAACATTTCTTTCTACGTCCACATCCCTAGGTCAATCTCTCATCTCCCTGGCCACTGTTGAATATTCTACTAGCTTTCTC